CATTACATGCAAGACCTAGACTTTACAGTGACGGTGCTGAGGCAGAGGAATTCTAGTGGTTCCGACTCTTCCTATTGTCCATACTCCACACACACACACACACTCTGTCTGCATTTCCAAAAAGCTCCATTCTTTCATACTCATTTCAACCTTCCCTCTTCAGGGATCTCTTAAAATTCTTCTTTATAAAAGAAAAATAGACATTTATGTATTTGTACATATATTTACACAGTGCGGAGAGTAATACGAGTGGGGGGGGGTGTCAGTCTGATGAGTGATTTGGCCGTCTCCTGTCCTCCATCCCATTCGGAGTGTCCCCCAGGCCGCTTCATGGGAAATCCTGTGGAGCTTTCCTTCCGCTGGGGGGAGAGCCTCTCCGACCCAGGCCCACGATGAAGAAGGAAAGCTGCCCTCCCCCTCCTCGGCCATCTCCGTCCCCCTTCTCCTCCCCTTCTTCTCGGCTGGACTTCCTCTCCAGCAGGCCGCTGCGTCGGGTTCCTTTCGCCCCTCCTCGCCGCCGCCAAGCTTCAGCCAGAGTCTGAGTCGCTGGTATCAGACGAGGAGGAAGACGAGGAGGAGGAGGAAGAGTCTGAGCTGGAGCTGCTGGCGCTCAGGCGAGAGGCCACGATGTGGGGCTCTCCCGCAGTCGTCTTCTCCACTAGGGGGCGAGAGAGAGACCGAGTTGATACGCGTAGCTTCAGATGCAGAAGGCCGTGTAAACCACCAAGGCAGGAAGAGTGCACTACCGCACTGCCGCAGGGGGGTCTGCAATTTATACACTAAACAATCCTCCACAGACTGAATTAAAAACTGCAGCTGTGTGATTCATGGTATTTGGACTGTAGCCATGCAATTTAAAGGGAAAAAAATAATTGATGGCAGCATCATTTAAAAGTTTTAGTCTCTGAAAGCAAACCCACTGTAGTGACCAGACCCAGCGTGGCTCCCTGAATGACCACAGACAATGACACAGCAGTAGACATGAAGACCACGGCAAATCACAGGAAGCTCCCTCACCCTTGGCCTTCTGAGGCTTCTTGGCCGAGTTGAGCTGGCCGCTGACATCCTGCAGCCGCTTCTCCAGCTCTTGCTTCTTCTCCAGGGCCAGCTCTTCCCGGGACTTCCCGCCGGCCGTCTTCTTCATCACTGCGGGCGGGATAGAGAATGAGGCCTCTGAGCTGGCGAGGAGTGCAGAGGCAGCCCGAGGACGCCGGACGTGGAGACTCACCGTAAGGCTTACGGGGCTTCTTGCGCAGGCAGGTCATGACGTAGCGCTCCAGCTCACGCAGAGTGGAGGGCTTGAGCGTCTCGAAGTCGATCTCAATCTCCTCTGGGTTGGAATCGCGCAGTGAGGGCTCGCGGGACTGGATGATGTGAACCACACGGCCCAGCTTCTCGCCTGGCAGCTTGTTGATGTCCAGGCTCAGCTGCCGCTTCTCGTCGTACGACATGGGCCGGCCCTCCTCCTCCTCTTCTGAATCGTACAGGGGTGGCAGCGACGCTCCTAAAGCCACGTTGGAGGCAGTGGGTGTGGCTTGGGACTTCTTGGAAGACCTGGGGGAGGGGACAAGCTCGCTTAGCATCCAGGTTCAGTCTATATCAGAGTTTCCCAATCCAGGCCTTGTGGACCCACGGACAATCCACGTTTTTGCTGGAGAGCTGGGAGGGAGCAAAAATTGACTGGCTGTGGGTCCGAGGACCAGATTGGGAAACACTGGTCTATTTCGTTAGCAATCACAAGCAAACACAGTGTTAATCTCACAAAGGTAACAAAGACTTACCAAATGACATTGTGTTTAAACCACTCAGACAAGCTTACTTGTGAATCTGTCACATTATATTAAAGCTGTGATGTGCTGTGGTTGCAGTGATGGATGTTACTGATGTCCCAAGCAGACAGACAGATAATACACTGTGTGCAGAGCTCAGTGAAGGAAAGTCAGCAGCAAGCGGCAGAGACGCTAAAGAAACAGGGATGTCGACTGACTTGCTCTTGCCGCTCTTCTTGCTGGCCGCCTTCTTGCCCGGCGTGGAGCTGCTCGCCGAGCGGCTCGACTTGCTCTTGGAGATCTTGGCGGCTTTCGGCGGTTTCTCGACGGCCCCGTCGCCCCGGCGGTTCTCCGACTTCTTTTTCTTCTTCTTCTCCTTTTTGTCTCGCTTTTTCTTGGGCTTGACGATGGGGGCCTGGGACAGAGCCGCGAGCTGCTCGTGTACGGCCCGTAGCTGGGGGCCGTGAGGGAGGAGAGACCCGTGTCAAACACCACATACCGTCCACATTTGAAAAAGGACTTCTGATGGAGGTAAGCAAACAACACATGAATACGTTACACAAACCTACCAAGCCTGAGATATGAATGACTGCTGGAAACTAAAGGCTCATAAATATGTTTCTTAGTAATGTCGTGAATCCCACCAATCTTCTTCCAGTCTAGTGACTCAGTATGATGTATTTTGTTTGGGGATGGCGCTCCACAAACTATCATGCTTTGCGGGCAACGTTCCATTGGACAGTCACGAGCGGCTCGCTCATCACTGCGCCGACAATGGCCACGTGATCACATGCCTCCGCTAGAACACTTGAGCCACCGTCTCACGTTTCACCGGCACAAAGGACGACCCTCGCCAAGAGGCGCCACGCTGTTGCCAAGGAAACCCGAGGCAGCCCACTCCAGCGATCCGCTGCTTAAGCATCATATAAAACTTTGCAGGAAGATCTGGAAAGTGAAGAAGGGCCATAATGGTGTGTGGGACATGCTACACATTCGGCAGCTAAAGCCTTATTCCAGTAGCGGTGTAGCTATGAGTGGTGAACAGTGTGTAGATGTAGTTCAGAGAAGCTGTGGTGAGCAGGTGCACGGCGTTTGGTGTCTACCTGAGTACACACCTGTTCCTGGAGCTCGGCCAGCCGGTGGGCTCGCTCCACCTCGCTGTCCGAGCTGGGGCTGCTCTCACTCTCGCTGCTGGGCTCGCTCTCCGAGGACGACGACGAGGACGACTCGGCCGCCGAAAGGCCCAGCTCGCCCCCCAGGGAGGCCATGAGCATGTCGTCCGCCGGCTCGTCGGGCATCTTGGCGAAGCGGAACTCAAAGACGTCCTGGAGAGCGCGAGGGGACATGGACGCACGGGCAAAGAGTCACGCGCTGTCAGACCGTAAAGACCATCAAAGGCTGACGAGAATGAATGCGGCGCTTCTGGGCTCATCAGAGCCTCTCCGCACCTGCAGCTTGCGAGCCATGGACACCACGTCATGATCGGGGGGGTTGTACTTGTAGCAGTTTGAGAACATGAGCCTGACGTCCGCAGCAAACTGCTGGGCGTCTTGGTATTCACGACTGTCCATCTTCCTCTGAGAGAAAGAGAGAAACGGAAGGAATGAGAGACGGGAAATCAGAAGGCACTTCCTGTGATTAACTTCTAAGACATGATGCTTAACAGGAAGGATACGGCCGATTTAACGCATTGAACATTCACAGAGCAATAAGGCTGCGCCTCTTGCATTTGGCACTATGGGTAATCACACGCTTCAGTGCCGACTGACAGAGAGCCCTTCAGGTGCTACTCCAACCGTTTTCTTTTGCAAAACCGTCTTATAGTCTAAAGCATCAGGAACACAGGAGCAGAATCCCAAACACGAGGTCAGCATCGCAGGCACCGCCCACCTTGATGGTGCTGAGATCCATGGGGTGCTTGATGATGTCGTGGTAGTCGTGCAGGCCCAGGGCCGAGGCGTCCACGGGCTTGTAGAAGGGCCAGGCGTAGGCGGCGTGCTTCTTGGACAGCAGCTCCTTCAGCACGCCGCTGCAGTAGCGCAGCTGCTGGCTCAGCTTCCCGCGCCGCGACGGCTGGTGCTGCAGTGAGTCGGGCAGGTCCTTCCGCGGCGGCTTGATGGGCCGGCCGCTCTCCCTCCGCCGCGCCGGCACCTTGGCCGCCATGACGGGCTGCAGGAGCACGGGGCCCCCCATGCCTGGCTTCAGCTCCGCCCCCAGTGAGGACAGCATCAGGGGGGAGTCGCCGCCGCCACCCAGACCCATGCCGCCCACCCCCACGGTGTGGGGCAGGGCCACCGTGGTGGGGGTGGTGGTGTCCGCCTTCCGTTTTACACCCTTCTTCTGTGGACCAGAGACAGACAGGCAGCCTGCATATAAAATGGCCCCAACGCTGTCGAGTCTGAGACTACAGCCCTTATTTCACAAGGGACGTGGGAAACTAGTTACATGTAGCTGGGTACTTTCCATGAAGCCCAGAGAGTCCAGGGCCCCTGCGATCGGCAGGCAAAGCCAAGGTGCTTCCCTAGATCGTTATCAGCTGCCCCATTCATTATTGCACAAAAATGAAGCGCCGTGTCCCTGCTCCCACTGTCACGTCAACGTCGACCTAACAGATACCCAACCGGGACTTCATCTGTAAAAACAGCAGCTGCTGGGAACGAATTTCTACTGCACCTGTGATCTACTCATGCAGCGCGCCTTACAGAAGTGGTGGCATTAATATACAGCAGCTGGAAGAGGGCGGGCGGGAGGTCGTGGGGTCGTACCTTGGCCGTGGGTTGTGTGGGAGGCAGCCCTAGCAGACCCTTGTGAGCCAGCATCGTCTGCGGCGTGGTGGGGAGCAGCAGGTCCGGCGTTTCAGGGGTGGGGGGCGAATACACAGACTGGGAGACTGAAGACACAGCTGGGACCTGGTGCGCAGTTGTCACACCCCCTGGCACTGGTGCAGAGCGGAGTGCGGTAAGGACACATGGCTACGCAGTAACGCAAGCGCTCCGCCCCTCCGCTCCGCTTCTCGGCCGATCTAGTCACACGCTTAGAGGCTGAGAACCCACCGGTCGCCCTGCGGCCTTTGGTGGCCTTTGCAGGTTTGCCTCGCGGTGCCGGAGCGGGAAGCTCGATCTCCTCCTGGGGCATCTGGGCAACTTTCTGCAGGAACGCCTTCTCCAGAGACTGCGCCATCAGGACGATGTCATCAGTGGGCTGGGGGGAGGGAGAGACCAGACATGGAAACATGCAGGTCAGGGTCCTGCAAAATGCAGCCACAGGTCGTACATCTAAAAATAACAGGAGAGCCCCTATGGAGGGTAGAATCACACGATATTGTAGTTTTTCCATATAGAGTGAGCAGACGCACCTTGTTGTAGATGTAGCAGTTGGTAAACATGGTGTTGAAGTCCTGTATGCACTCGCTGGCACTGCGGTAGAAATTATTCTCAAGCCGTCTCTTGATGGTGCCCAAGTCCATCGGCTGCTTGATAATCTTGTGATAATCCTGAGAAGCGTTTCAGGGGGAGTAAAATTAAAAATCGCAAAGAAGCCCTAAAAGACACGGATACTACAGTCTGGCTGTGATGATCCAGAAATCATGACATGGAAGTTGTCCAGGTCGCTGTACATATTGACCTCTAACAAAAGATGTTTAATGTATTTAATGTTGCGCTTAAATTTTTCTTACAAGCTACCTGGGGGTCCGTAGCCCAAAGGCAGAAAGGCAAGATGCAGTACACAGACCTAATGAGCAAACAGCAGTGCCAAGCTGGTGTCACATGACCCCGAGAGGACGGCACGCTCACCGGCAGGTTGAGCTTGGCGGCATCCACTGGCTCGTGGAAGGGCCAGGCAAAGTGGTGGCGCCACAGTGACTTCATCATCGCCTTCTGCAGGAACTGCAGCTGGTTGGTGAGGCGGCCCGGGCGGCTGGGGTCCCGCACGGGTGGGGCTGAGGCTCCGGGAGGTGGTGTGTGAGGGGCCAGCGCCGGGCCCTCGAAGCCCTCATAGAGCAGCGACGGCTTGCGGATGCGCTTGCCGGGGCCCGACACGCCAGCGATGTGCTCCATCCCAATGGCCCCCGGAGTCCCCGTGTTCCCACCCAGGGAGCTGCTGCCATCCGACAGCAGTCTAGCAGGGACAGGATGGCACGTGCAGAGCAGGGGGGAGAAGAGGTGGAGCAGAGACGGAAAGATCTGCTTAATGTACACATCACTTACTCCCTCAACTTGCGCACATAAATCCCCACAGATCTTACACGCAACTTTTTCAGATTATATCTTTACCCCCATATTCAGTAAACAGTCTTTTCACTGAGAGAAAATTTGAGAATTATGACTGTTATTACGCCCATCGTGACATAACCACAACAAAGACGAGGAAGTGACGTCAGAGCCACTGTGAACATGTGCAGCAGAGGCTGCTCAGTCAGGGCCGTGCGGCTGAGGTGTGGCTGCAGCAGCGTCATTGTGTCAATGCACAACTACAAGTTCTGGCAGGCAAACTGGATGAGAATGCTGAGGTCAGAATGTTATCTGAGGTCAGAATTGCATGTAGGGGTGGACAGTTCCCATGGTGTCAGAAAACTCCCCACTCACAGCCTAAACTAAAGCAGTACAATGATCAAGTAACCTGTCAGACGTGTGCTTTTCAAAAGCAAACCGCATACTGCAAAACTACTTGGATCACTGAATTCTTGGGACCAAGGTTCATTTTAGTCTGATGAACATAATGAGTCCGGCTACATTTTCAGAAGAACAAAATTTAAGCGCAATACTGGTACACATTCTATTGCGAACTTCCCTTCCATCTCCCTGGCAACTCAGTTAAGGAACCCTCTCCATTGGCTGCTGCTCTTACATAGCCATGGTAACCAATCCCACAACTACTACCCATCACCACCTACAATAGACACACAGCAGGTGTTGTCTGTGTAATGAAACTATCTAGGTTGTAACCCAAGGCTATGCATTTGTTTGATATTCAAACACCTTCACACAAAGGCTGCTGTGTGTGTGTGTGTGTGTGTGTGAGACAGAGAGAGTGAGAGAGAGACATTACACTCCTCTCTCACCGATGCAGGCTCATTACTGTGACCCCTCAGCCACCACTCTGCAAGTCTGTGCCCCAGTGACACAAAAAGCAAGATATGAGACCTTCGGCACAGGTGCTTACCCCACCCCCAACATTAAACACAAGGGAAAAGTATCATGCAGAGACAAAATAATATACGATCTTTGGATTGAAAACATAAACAATGCAGTCTGCCATTTAATTAACTGAATGGACAGAAGCAGAACCACTGACGGTATAAAAGGAACAGAGACACGTATACAGGGAATATAAAGCACGAATGCTATGAGTTTAAACTTTTCAGACTTTGATTAGAATGGCCTGGAAAAAAATATCATTTGGGGGAACCACCAAGATATTGTCATCAAGTCTAGAGAACTGTGTCATATTGAGTTATAAGGCCCGTTCCTAAATAGCTTTTAGGAAAAAAATCAGAACTATACATAGAAAATAGACAAATGTAAAAATATAAAGTTCTTTTTGGGGACAAAATAGTGGTGTTGGACCAGGAAAATCAGCTCTAAGCTTTCTGATGGACCAACAAACAGACGTAACTGTCCATGACGCAATAAAGTCTTAGGTCTTACAATCCTTACATCATGCAGGGGGAAACGAGATGAGGATACTGATAGAGGAGTTATGGTTGAATCTACAGCATAATACGAAGTTCATGCAAATGTCAACCGTATTTTACAAACTGAATTGGGCCAAAATAACACACTGTCACAGGTAGATGGCTTACATTCTAAGATACCACATTAATAAGCAATGGGAGACCTTGGCACACCAGATTACACACATACCTGCCACCAACATTAAAACACACAAAGTGTAAAATTGTTCACTGACTGCGTCCCATTAGTGTTTATAAAGCCTACAAAACTTCACTGGATGAGAATATACCCACCAATTTAGTCAAAGGTAATTTTATAGAAAACCAAATTCCATGCATGGTCTTGGATGTAAATCTTCCACTGGGGGTGGTGTGGGGGCAGTTTAAGTTCAGGTCACACAGGTATAGCGCCACACCATTTTAATTGTAATTAAAATCTCCTTGACATACAGAATCCAGTCCAGCAACTTGCAGTAAATAGGAGGGAAAGCGAAAGAGGCAGCTTGCATAAAATTAACGTTGAATAGGGCTGTTGGCTAAAACCTTGGTTAACCATTGATGCTTGAGACGAAGCAGATGTTTACAAAGACACACAAAGGTTTTCGTTTAATAAAAAGCATTTTATTGTGACACTATTAAGGACATAACTACATAAGATATCCCTTAGCCCATACTTACCATTAAATTCTATGCAGAAAGGGCACAAGGGACAAACGTGACATACAAATGACCTATTCAAATCAAAATCTAAAAACTGACCAATTTACATAGTCAAAGGTGGGAGAACGAAAATAAAAATATTGTACAAGTCTTGCTTAAAACTATTTTGCAGGTCAATAACCACTGGAAATGACATCTACAGAAAATTACAGAATAATATATTTGCTGAAACACACAGAATAAGTTGATTTACTAGAGTTAAAATATTCTGCAATTGTCCATAACCGAGCACCCACCCCAAAGCGAAGACTAGAGATGTTACATTGAGTTCCTTGACTGTTAGCACATGGCCAAACCAACAGCTACCAATGGGAACATTGCGTTTCTGCCTGATGTGATAAAGTTTAAATGACCTGAGGAGGTGCCTTTACTCTACACCCCAGACGTTACAAAGAGTTACCCTGGCTACGGATACTACTGACAGACACCTGCACGTGGATGCTGCACAGCGGAACCGGCAAACTACCTGTCAATTTAATCAAGCTAAAAAGGAACAAGAAGAGTTCACTGCACCGACCATCATTCCCAGGCTACAGTAATTAATAGATCGGCCGACCGTAATATTTAACATATACTAAATGCGACCATGCGGCCGATGTATCACACTGCATTTATTCAAGTTATAAATACTCAAGTCACTCCGACAACCGCACCGCAGGGCGCCAAAGTGCACGCCGGCACGGAGCGGGTAACAAGAGCAAAGCCGGCTCAGAACCTGCGTCTGAAAGCTTACTGCATCACCGGCACGTTTACGCATGTTACAACTGCTAACTACATTACCAGTCTTGGCCAAATGAAATGCAGAAATTAAATTATCACCCAGTACGTCGCGTACAGTCTGCTGGCGTATTAAAATTCAGTGCCCGTGCTTCCAGCCTAAAACATTTTGGATTTAAAACAACTAAACTTACCTACGTAGCGCGTTTAATCAAAATATTTACACACAGTAAGTAACCAGCAATAGGGAGCGTAGTGTGTTAAAACCTCAGGGATAACTTAACAGGCGCCTTTGAATACACAAAATTAGACCACATTATGAATGTTACAGGATGTGTAAACACTGACTTTAGGATTTACAAATATAAATTTCCGTCGTATACCAGTATTATACATGCCTAAGCAATTAAATGTTAGCTGCAAGCTAACTAGCCGCAATCCAAACACGGTAGCAGGGCGGCAGGAAAATGGCGTCGGCGCAGTGACGATACTGGAGAGCGGGTACACGGGCGATTCAAAACAGTGCCGAAAAGACGTTGAACCGTGTACATCTCCACAGAACAATCCCAATGGTCAGAGACATATTCCACTGGTCAGGATACTACCAAGTCAATTGCGCAGTCACAGTAGCATGCGCTGATGTATTTTATACTACCGATGCTAAAGTGGTTGCTGATATGGAATTAATATTCACTGACCAAATTATATTCCACAGCCAATAATATAGCCTTAGGCAGCATGGCAAATGTCAGTCATTCCGTTCGGTACCTGTCAAGGGTCGGGTTTACGGCCGTCTCCATCAGGATGGATCCGGATTCCTTTAAAAGACCTATTTCTGTTAAGTTCCAATGTCTTCTTCCGTTCCCGCCTGTCAACTCTTCCTTCCGTTCAACGCTTCAGCGAAATGGCGACGCTCGGATTCCGCACAGCTTTTTAAAACCCATCTGCTGAGACGATTGGATGAGGTACCATCCACAGGCCCACGCCCACATGCCTCTTATACGCAAAGCCACACGTCTATCTAGTAAGCCGCGCCTTAATTCACAAGTAGCCACCCAAATCCGCTTCTTCTGGCTAATTCGCATAGCAGGGACGTCCGTCAAACCAAATGGTGCATCTATTGGATGCTTACGTCAAAGCTTAATCACATACTCCCATGACTGGCTGTGTTGCACAGTTTTACGAAACGGTCCCACCTTTCACGGTTTAGCACCGGCCAAAAATTACGTCAATACAGGAAGAGAGTCCGCGGCTATTGGTCGTCGAGTCTCAGGCGCGGGCACCGGGAGCAATTTGCAGCTACGCCATTGGGTATTTCAGCTATTCACGCGCATTCGACATACGCTTTCTATACGGAGCGCTTCAGTTCTGCGGTAGCGGTTCCAAAGAAAGTCGTTTTCCAATTTACGTAGCTGACAAAATCACGTTGAAAAACAACTGCATTTAAAAAGTCAGAAGTAACACACTGTGTTGGAATACAAATGTTATGTGAAAAAACATATGTAGAAACCACTGAACGACAAACTCCTCACGCCTTTATATTAAAATGTACGTGACTACAAACACGCGAAACTGGGAAGTGAAAACGCTTATTTCAGCGAATACAAGCGCAAAAAAGTAACAATCTATGTATTCAAATCCTGATGGCCGATAAATAACTCATAACTATTTAGTACGAAATACGACCTTTAGAAGATAATCCCGTATTGGTCATACCAAACACTCCCCGGAAACTGGCACATGCAACGCACATGATATACAGCCGCAGGCGGTGAGGCCTACCTCATTTGTATTGTATAACTTAACATCAAAAATAATGTACATGCACAATTTCTATATAATACAAAATAAACATATCCATCGTTAAACTTCCATATATAAAACTTCGAAAGAACACCACCACTACAACAACAACTATCAAGCGCGAATGTACGGAATGACACAGCAATTTTCAAGGCTTCTGCTTACGCACTTAGTAATTCCTAAAACTGAGTTACAAATATGAACAATATACCATCCACAACTACGCCATATACTAATAGGTATTTGTACTTGGTCAATAAACAAAAAAATCTGATTTTAGGCCACTATTAGTATGAGACCTCATACAGAATAGAGTACGTCTTGCTTATAGTTTCCGCTTGACATTTAGTTTCAGAACCATTTTCATCCCATAAAAACATTTAAAAGAAACTAGATAATTAATATTTTCAACCATATAAGCCATCTAATTAGAATAACAGAAGGACCGCAAGCAAACTAATTTAACACGGCTGACTCACTTGGCGTTTACTAAATTTACGAAAGAAACCATAAAAATACACTTAGTAGCTATTTTATAGTCTAAAAACGTAGAAAAAGTCTCGATATAGCTCACATGTAAGCCTGCAAACCAAGAAGTCACACAAGTCATCGGCAACACCCACCCATCCCCCATCGACAAGGTTACAAGTTCTTCCCAACGCAAATTCCTATAAATTAAATATACAATTAAAGCATTCTTCTCGAATAACGCTTTACATTGCCAAATCTGTGTCAACCAGTAAGATATCGAATTATCCTCCGGATTTAAGAAATAAACAAATGTTCTTCGTTGAGCTTAATTCCAAAAGGACATTCTTTGACTAAAAAGTGTCCTAAATGAAATCCACATAATGGTAACATTACTTTTTCTCTTCTTTTCTTCAGCCACGTTTCTTTTTTCTCCAACTCATTTCCCACAAACATGTCTGTCTTCTTCTTCCCTCATTCATTGGGTCGAAGTGGGGGAGGGGAGTCACATGACTGGTTTCGTTCTGATTCTCGACATAAAGCAAAACCAAAGGAAAACTATCCAAACCTTTTCCTAAAATGTATAATTTCCCATTTCCAAAGTGAGGTATTCCCGTAACACGTGCTTCCAATTTCCAATTGTTATTTTAGAAATATATTGACCAACTTTTTGTCAATAATCACAAACACAAACGCAGAACAAAGAACATTTTTCCAGAACCCCATGACATTTGCGATTGGGCGGCAAATGTCACGTGATAAAATATGGCTTTCAAGGTGAAAAAAGTCAACTTGATATTTCACTGCGTTGAGCATTCCTTTGACGTTTCCAATAAAAATGCGCCCTTTATTCTAGTATTTAACCAACCGTGTTTGTTTTCTACGGAATATAAATAATATTTTTCCGAAAAATACCGTATTCCTTCATTAAGCGCTGAATCTTACTGCCAACATGGCATCCACCTCCATGGTTTAACGAAAAAAAAGAAAGAAATGCGCATGCGTCGTCAAGGAAAATACGGCATATTACATGTCGTGCCTTTCTGGGGTTTCGTATATTGATTACGATCTTAGCGTAACGTTTTATGATTTCGACGTTGTGATGCAGCGCCCAACTTAGTTCAAAAAGCCAATGATCAACTGTATTTGTAATTTAGGGTCGATTTTCCTTATGTCAAAGTCGAGAAATACTGGGAACATCGGTGAAAGAACTAGGTATAACATACCTTGCTGTATGTTAGAATATTTGATTCTTAGCCTCACAAGCTGTTTATTAGTGATTATTTTGTTTAGTCATGTGGTTATTGTTGATTCTATGAAAGTTGTTCTTAGGAATTTAGCATCCAGCATTACTTTCAGCAGATAAACCGCTTGTGTAATTATTAATTGGCGTGTTAATGTTTTTAAAATCAAAGAAAAATACCGTCAGTGATCATCAGCCATGTGACTGGGAAACATTCAACAAATATGTCGTACGCAGATATTGTTAGATTACGTTTATTTTCAGTTTACATTTGCTTTCACACGATGTAGCCATAGTAAGGACTTTATTTTGGGGATGCTGACCCTTTTCCGTTCATTTATAGTAAATGATCAACATTATAAGTCTATCTTAATTAACTCAAAACAGCGTCGCGAGATACTTTGGATCTATTTAAAATGCACTTGACTGCACAGTAAATTCTGTAGTAAAATGCTGAAGAAGCCACTTATAAAATAAATAGTATGTTTGAAAACTTCATGTATAGCCATACTGTAATGACATTTTAGTGAGTAATCATATTTTTTACTGTTTGCGTACACGTGCATTTAGGTTGCTAGGGAAGCTTGCGCCAACATGTAATCTGGAAACCCTTGGCAACAGTCTCTTAACAATTAGTAGTGAGCGCAGTCCGAAAACTCTGTGTGAAAGGCTTTAATTGTGCACAGTGTTACTCCTGTTAAAATTGGGCTGTCAAAGTTAAATTATAATAACAATGACACAGGTACTCACTTGAGACATTTCAGCATTATTAACAGCTTAAAAGAATCATTTTTTGTGAGATATGTTATAAATGTATTTATCTATCGCATTTTTTCCCACAACTTTTTTGTTCACTTTGTTAAATTATTGAAGCCTTTATGGTTTAAATAGCAAGAAAGGACACATCTTACATTATAAAATAATGACCATCATTTCCCTCTGCTGTATATTAAGATGTATTATTTCTAGGATTAAGTGGTGAAGCATGCCATTAGTTGCTTTCTCACGAAACTAGCAACATTTCATTTATTTAGCGCCTAACCAGAAACAGGCAATTTTAGTTAATTTATCTGGTTAAGAAACAGGCATCTCAAATAGTTAAATGCATGCTACTAGAGGTGATAACCTTAGGTCGTCTCGTAAGTTCTGGTTAATATCTGTAGTCCAACAGGTTTTACGTCTGTTTGGGTTGGTTTTTTTTGTAATTTGGGATTTATAGTTTAACAGTTTAACAGTTAATATAAAATTAAGCATGATATCAGTGATACATCTGTTTATCTAAACACTTTTAACACTAGAGACCGGCTTTACATGGATTATTTTCTGATGTTCATGTGTGTGGAACAGAAGGGTTAACAAACTGCTTACTTTCTCCACAATAACATTTGGACTCTCTCCTCCAGTGACTCTGAAAAACTTTAAAAATTAAACTTTATTTGAACACCAGTTACTTTTCTTCCATTAGCATCCTTTTTATTTAGAATGCTGTTTTTATTCAGTGAGATCAACATGATGTGTATCTCATGAAAGTTGGGTGAGATTTGAAGTGAAAATTATGTATCATTTTATAACTTTTAGTTAAGGATAAAATTACTATAATCCATATAACTGCAAATCAGAATAGATATTTCTAGGTTGCTCAATTCCATATTTGCAAGTACAGTGGTACCGATCGGTTCTCGAACTTAATCCGTTCCGGACTCCGGATCGAATCCTAAAAAGTTCGAGTTCTGATCGAATTTTTCCCATAAGAAATAATGGAAAACCAATTAATTGGTTCCCGGCCCCCCAAAATTATACCTAAATATGTTTTTTTTTTAAGCATTTAAACACAAAATGAACAGGATAAAACAAGAAGAGCATTTTTTTCTTAATGGCTTCCAAAACAATAAAGATCTTATCCCAACATTACCCCTGTCCTGCCCCGATCATCCACTCCTTCCGTGTGCCACGCCCCCTCCTTAACCTCGTGTGGGATCCCCATGTGATCAGCTATTTCTGGTTGTTGTCATTAGTCCTCTGTATTAAGTCCGCGTTTCAGTTTGTTTCCCCAGTCCGGTCATTTGGTGCGTTCGACTTGCTTACAGCGCTGGCTTAAAGCAACGCATTCTGATCCTGACGCAATGCATTACGGTTAGATGCATTGCGACCTCTCACCCGGCTGCACAAACTGGAACCGCCTCCGTGACGACACACTTTTGCCCTTATTGGCTGAAGAGTTTAGTTACGCACTGACGTTTGTATCCCAGGCAGTTCCGATGCATAATCTGCCATTTCTCCCGAATATCACGTAAAGCAGTGAGAACTGGTTTTCAGTTAATTTACCTGGTAAAATTAAGTTTAAATAAATGACATAAATACTCTAATAGTACACGTAAGTTAGTGGTTTATTTATTGTTAGTTACTGTAATGTTGCGCTGCTTTATTTGGTTAATCGTCCAGTCTGTGAAGAAGGCATTCAAGTAAGAATTGCATTGTAGTATGACTCATTTTCTGGCGCGTACAATTTATTTTTAGCGTTCACGGTTCGACTTCTGATATTCAGATCGAGTTCTTGTTCGACTTTCAAGAAATTCGAGTTCTAGTGAGTTCGAGAACCGAGGTACCACTGTATTTGAAACATGTATATGAAAAAAGGTAATAGTCATTTATATTCAAACGTGAAAAAAAATCAATTAGTGTGTATACAGTTATTTTCCACCTTAAATCTCAAGCCACAAAGCTCTGAAACTCATGATACTATATACCTGAGGGTAACACACATTTATGTTATAAATGACAAAGAATATCACATGGTAAGGATATCACAGAAAGTGACTGAGGACCTTCTGTAAAAAGATCAGTCTCTGGAGCAACTCATGAACAACACAACACTTTTACTGTGCATTGCTCTTTATTGCCATGCTATTTTTTAACAAGTATTCTTGTTAACTATCTTTCCCTGAACTAACCCACGACTGGGTTGTTTTTGCTACTAATGCAGTAGTAAAGGTTGTATTAAACTAAAGAAGTCCATTTAAAGTCGCTTCGTTTGAATATCTAGGTGTAAGCTGTCTACTATCGGATTGGTCCCGGCCTCATACCATCCTGTTCATTTCCTCTTTTGGACAGCAGGTGTCGCTGGCCATTCCCTTCATTCTTGTGTTTAGCTCCTTCACATTCCTTAGTGCAGGGGTGACCAATCTTATCCGCAAAGGGCCGCTGTGTATGCGGGTTTTCGCTGCAACTCCCTAATTAGGTCACTAATTAGAGGACTGATTGGCTGAAGAGTCCTCACACCTGGGTTTGAACAACTGACCTACAGGTTATCCCAAAAACCTGCATACACACCGGCCCTTTGCAGATAAGATTGGCGACCCCTGCCCTAGTGTGTTCCCCTTCTATCTGGGCCAGTACATAGCCAAATGTGCTGATGATGAATTCCATTTACCTCGGAGGTCAGAAGTCAGAGCTAGGAATGATGTCACACCAGAGTTAATTGGGTTCTAATACAATAATTCGGAAAGCCATTTAGTAATACTAGGGACCTGTTTCAAAAAGCAGGATTTCTTGCTTAGCCAGACAGCTTGTCAGATTTAAGGTACCCCAGATTAAATGGCCTTTACCTTCACTCGTTTACATTTATCCCAGACTACCTTAAATCCAACAAGCTATCTGGCTCAGCAAGAAATCCTGCTTTCTGAAACAGGTGCAGCTATCTTGAATTCTGAAGTCATGGTTGCAGAGGTTCCTCTCACTTTCCAAGCTGGAGTTCCAACTTCAGGGGGCTTTCCATTTGAAATTTCATTCTAATTCTGTTTTGCAAAGGGTACTCAAAACTGGACTTGCACGCACTCCTGGTAAAGGGGTGATTTGAGTGAAAATTGGTCCTCAATGACTTGTTCCCTAAGGTATTGGGACAACATCTGGACTTCAGAAAAACTGCTGGGACAAAGGAAAGGTGGCGAGGGAAGGTAACACAAATGGGGGTTTGGGGTGTAGCCCATTATAATAATTTTATCCTTAACTAAAAGTTATAAAATGATAGATAATTTATTTTTCAGCATATACAGTGGAGGAAATAATTATTTGACCCCTCGCTGATTTTGTAAGTTTGTCCAATGACAAAGAAATGAAAAGTCTCAGAACAGTATCATTTCAATGGTAGGTTTATTTTAACAGTGACAGATAGCACATCAAAAGGAAAATTGAAAAAATAACTTTAAATAAAAGATAGAAACTGATTTGCATTTCATTGAGTGAAATAAGTATTTGAACCCTCTAACAAAAAAGACTTAATACTTAGTGCCAAAACCCTTGTTTGCAAGCACAGAGGTCAAACGTTTCTTGTAATTGATGACCAAGTTTGCGCACATTTTAGGAGGAATTTTGGTCCACTCCTCTTTGCAGATCATCTCTAAATCACTAAGGTTTCAAGGCTGTCTCTGTGCAACTTTGAGCTTCAGCTCCCTCCATAGGTTTTCTATTGGATTAAGGTCCGGAGACTGACTAGGCCACTCCATGACCTTAATGTGCTTCTTCTTGAGCCACTCCTTTGTTGCCTTTGCTGTATGTTTTGGGTCATTGTCGTGCTGGAACACCCATCCACGACCCATTTTCAGTTTCCTGGCAGAGGGAAGGAGGTTGTCGCTTAGGATTTTACGATACATGGCTCCGTCCATTTTCCCGTTGATGCGGTGAAGTTGTCCTGTGCCCTTAGTAGAAAAACACCCCTAAAGCAAAATGTTTCCACCTCCATGCTTG